CTTTGTGCTTTGTCCAGCATCTCTTTTTCTTTAGATTTAGTAAGTAAAACAAGACTCTGGGGAACCACAGAGCAGCAGGAAAGAAAGACAGAAACCCACTTCTGAGTTTTGGGTGGATCAGTCTCTACAGGACTCAGCCTCAGCCATGCATATGAGCTCTCATATCATCACCACTAATGCTGCAATGGCACTTTTAATATCCCAAGTATTGCCAGTAGCCTGAAACCATACAGAGCAAACCTTTCGCTGAGTCTGAGCTGAAGGCATCCACGGCCACTCTGTTCTCACCAGACTTTACAAATCTTGCAGGCACCTAAAAGGGTTATCTCAAGTCCTCCTCACAGTAAATAAAATATTCTTTAAAAGGCTTTTGGGGATCCTCAGGGCATTCCAGTATTGCCGGGAAGATGCTTTAGCCTACCTAGTAGAGAAATACATAACAATGTGCTTTAAAAATTAAAAATTTAGAAGAATCTGAATAATTGCTTCCTGTCAATTTTCTAGGTTGGCATCATGTACTTCAAGAGTGAATCATCTCAAGAAATTCATTTGGAAACGTCTGTCTAGCCTGTGGAAAAGCTATGTAAAACTGTGTACAGAGCACAATACATAATGAAGTTTACACTTGCTTTGGATTTGTCCTGAGGAATGTACAGCAATTCTGACACAGTTTTTGCCAGTGTTACCAGCTACAACATGCAGCTCAGTAGCACAGGAGTCTATTCCTGTTCAAAGGGGAAAACAAGGACTTAAATATTTACTGGTTAATTGTCCCAAAATATTATCAGTTGGTTCCCCTTAAAAATAAGTAAGTGCCTGCTTTACCAGAATTAATGAAAAAGAATATTATTTAGTAGATTTTAAAACTACAGGGCAGGACAAAAAAATCATAATGAAACCAGGGTTTTTCTATCTGCTTCTTTAGGTTTGCACAGGCTATAGTTTCAGGCCACTCTCTTTTGACCTGATCATAAGAATAAATCAAAATTAAATTGAACAGGGTCTTGTACTCTGATTTGCTCAAATAATTGCAATTTTTTTCCAACATGCACCAAAGGGAGCTGTGTACACAATTGGGGGGGGCGGGATATATCCTACCACCAGAAAGACTATGGTTTATTTCAGAATTTTTCCGAATCTTGAAAATAGAAAAAGTAAAATGGTAAGACATATTTGATTATAGTAGGCATACACCAACTAAAAGGCCATCAAACTTGAACAGATTTGTCCACAGAAAAATCTCTGAAAATTGTGAAGAGCGGCTTGAAAATGTTAAAGCAACAGAATTTCTCAGGAAAGCAATAGTCAAGCAAACAAATACATAGTGAAAAAAACCAATTTTTCCAGTAGGATTCTGGGGGAGGTTTTTTTTTTCTGTTTGTTTGGGTTGGTTGGGGTTTGTTGTTGTTATTGGTTTTGTAGTTATTTTTAGTTTGGTTTTGTTTGTTTGTGTATTGGTGTTTCTGTTTGCTTGGGTTTTTTTGTTTTCTTTCCCCAGAAAACAGATTGATTTGTTTGTTTAGATTTGATTGGATTGTTTTGCTGCTTTAAAAAAAAAAACAACAAGTTAGACTCAAAGCAGATTCAAACCATGAAGAATTTCAAACTGTATGGCTTCCTACATCTCATAGCTAAAGGTATATTCACCCTGTGGCCAGATCAGCGCACACAGCACAATGAACCTTCTGCTATGACTGTAATATAAATAACTTTCTTATTAAATTGGATATATGTTAAAGACTAAAGAAAGAATATTGTTCTTAAATACAAGGTAGAAAATTACATTACTTAAATACAAGTGAAAAATTACAGATTTGAGATAGGAGTAAAATCAGATATTCACAAGAGTTAAGCCTTCTTGCAGCTTCACTACTGCTTATACCGGTGTTGCCAAGGTGTCTTGATTTACCTGGGAAATGAATCTATTACAGACCATACACCTATTCCACTACTTTCATGATTTATATACATACTTTGAAGGAATCATTCTGGCTACTGTGGCTGACTTCCTGAGCAGAGAAGACTGTAGTTCAAAAAGACTAAAGTCCTCAACTGAGCTACAGAACTACACAGAAAAAAAACCCTAAAACAAAACAAACCAAAACAACAACAACAAAAACCCACACAAAACATTTTGTTTGGAAAAGTAGCTGATACTGAATCTGTTATCTTGCTCATCAAAAACTGCTCCATGCTGCTCATTTTCATTTGTCTTGCTTTTTTTTATCCCCAGAATTTCCCCTCAGATATTCGTGCACTATCTGGCTGTATAAATGTATGCTTCACTCCAAAACAAAGCTTTTTAGACTACAGTCTCCTTCATAACATGCTTTGACCTGAAAATTCAGAAACAACACTTGTGAATCAATATGAGTATTATGAAGAGTTTAGAATGTATTATAAAAATTCTTAAAATTGTAAGGGTAAATGGTTTTTAGTAAGTTGCATTTTTAAAGCAATATTCAACTCTTAACTTTGCTATCTTGGATACCACTATTTACATGATATGGATCAATTTCAGGAAAGAAAAATTCAGATGGAAAGCAAGAAAACAAAGAGGAAGAGAGAACTACTATTCACTGACTGGGAGTAGCCCTCTTAGTTATCTCAAAAACTGTGTGATGCCCTGGTGAACTTAGAAGTCATTCATTGCTCCTCTTCATTCCTTGAAGAACGGGCTTCCTCTGTTCCTCTCTTGTTCTCTAAACACTCACTGACCAAACAATTTCTCTTAATCTGCAGGAAAAGGGTAGTGAAAGTTTGCCTTTAGGGGACCACAGAGGCAGAACATTACTTTCACCTTTCCCCATTGCTCTCTCTCAGGGCATAGCACTCCTGACTTCAAGGCAACATCAGCAGAATTCATTCACAAGCCTAGCAAGAACACCCATTAGTTATACTCAAGACAGTATTATTGAGCCCTCTCTCTAAGTTCTTTGTACTAACTCAATATAAAATTGCAGCTCTGAGTATTGATCAAATAAAAAATTTCCACTCAAGCAATCCTGACAGAAAGCCAGGAGATTTGCTGCATAGCAGCACAGTCCTTCCATATGTGTAGCCCACATACTAAGGTCTCCTCTGAAGTTTTGTATCCTGACAGTTCTGCCCCAGAGTGCCTTGGGAAATGCCTGAAATACTTCTTTACCCTCTCTATGATCTTCATTAGCTCTCCACCCCTATAGGAGACACCAGCTTCACACTGTTCCTGTTTGGCTTGCCACAGAGCAAGGTGCCATGAACGAGATAATGGCCCAGACTTGCAGAAAATGCTTCAGAGAAATCATGGGCCCTAAATTTAAAATTTTCCCCAATCTACCTGAACCCCAACTTTAGCTAAGTTTAATGAAAAAAATCCTCCCCCCCAATTATTAACCAGGTATTAAATTTAGACTTAGTTCAGTAATGGAAACCCTAAGCTCCCACTTAGACCCCAAGCCAGGTTGCTCAGTCAGTAAGACTCTATATTTTATATCTATAATCTCTATTTCTTTGTTATCTTTTGCTGTTAGTTTTAGGACACAAAAGCAAATATCTGAAGTGCTCCAGCACAGTAAGGATAATTGCAAAAGTGGGAGTTACAAGCATACTTATTAAGTGAAGCCCATCTCTTAAAAGGAGTGCTTTTTAAATTGGAGACTACATCTACCACCAGCAATGCAAAAACCTGATGAACTGAAATAAAGAAAGAGGCAAATTTACACAAAATTTACTTTTGTGGAAATACAAAATGAAACATCGGCTTAAGCATCCTCTTTGAATCACCTGGGACCCACTACTTTAATTTACTCAACATTCGGAATTGCACACAGAAAAAAAAGGAATGAGACAATTCTTCTTCCTGAGCTAACATAACATAAAGTTGTTAATGTCTAATTTTGAACTCTACCTTTGTGCTTTAGCAGACCAGGAGACAGAGCTTGACAAACTGGAGTATTTATCCAGACAAAAATAGCTACTCAGCTGTGCTTTAGTGCCATTTTCTGTCACACCAGCATGACAGCACTAAGTGTTTAGTTCAAATAAGTGGTTCCACGTCCTCTGATAATACAACATGGTTCCAGCATTCTGTTCACTACAATTTCAGCTCCATCAGGGGTGGCACAAGACAGCTCAGTATTCCCAGAGATTTTCAAACTGTGGTGCATGTGTTCTATTATGCACTCAACCCGTCTGGTCCATTTGGACTGGATTCACCAGGGAATACAATTAGCTGGCCATTTTATTTACACAACCAAGCCTGACAATTTGTCTGGAGCTTCAGTTATTTTTTATTTTTCTCTTTCTTGCAGTTTTGAATTATTTCTGATGTGGCAACTATCTGTAGCACAGATTCTTCTTCTACTGGGCATTAGTGTGTAAGGCAACCAACAGTTGGGGGACTCATCTTGGGGTAGGCAGTCAGGATCTTCAAATCTGAAGCAGTAGTTATTTCCTGAACAAACTCAAGTACATTATTCTTTTAAATGAGCCACTAAATAAGACTTCTTCTTAATGTGCTGCCAAACAAATAATGGAGAATACAAAGAAACAGCAACAGACAATGGCACACAAACACAGGGCAATGAGTTAATTCTGCTCCCTATTGCACAGCTAATCAGTGCTCCCAAAGCAGGGCACTATTGCTGCCCTGAAGACCAGAATTTGACACAGGCTATTTAGTGTTTTAGGAAAACAGGAAAATATTAAAAAAAAAAAAAAATGAGAGATGAAATTATTTTATCCAAAGGGCAGAGAACTTAAACAATCTCATCAAGTCTCAAAGAACCACCATTGTCACTGTATTTGAGGTATACTTTCCAAAGTTCAGTTAGCACATACAACACAAATATTTAATGTCAAAAAGTAATACCAGACATAAAAGAAACATAAAAAACTCATACACATTCAAATACAGACATTTGAAATGGTAAATATATGAAAATACTGTGTGCTTTTTCAGACAAGAAGGTTCATGTATTACCAATTTTATGATGCCAAATATTTTCTGCCGAAGTCTTCACTAGTCTTTCCTTCCTCTGTTTCTGCCTCTCTCCTTCTGCATGGAAGAAAAATCTCTCAGCCTCCATTTTCATCTCAAGGCAACACAGTCTCAAAATATTTCATACAATTAACTTAGTAAACTTAGTAAAATTGAACCATCTTTTATTAGATATGATTTTTTTTTCTCTGCTGCTACTCAAAATAAATTGCCTTTCAATTTGCCTAATGACTTTAAATATCTTTTTTCCAAAAAACATGCTACCCCTGGACTAGCACACAAAATATGTCCTAAGGTATCCTCTTGCCAAAAGCTTTTTCCATAAGCTTTTCCAGCCAACTTCAAGAAACTTAGGGGTTTTTGTAATGATTTATAATTAAAATTTGATATGAAACTTTTGGCAATGTATCTATAAAGAACTCAAATTATTAAAAAATAGTTATAGTATACATTGCAAACACAAAATGACTAATGAGATTACATAACATCTCTCATAACTGTAAAGGTTTCCATTACTGTAAGTCCTTTTGTGAGCAATAATGAGTCAAACTGAAACTATCACCAAAAAAGGGTTAAATGAGAAAACATTATCCATGCATTTACGGTGACAGGCAGCCACAAACTCGCTAGAGTACATGAAATGTTTGCTCTGCTTACCAACACCACCTAACATGTTTGTATTTACATTAGGAGGCTTGAAAGCAAAAACCAGAACCTTTATGGAAGTACTTACTTCGAGAGTCCCTTATTCCTTAGGCCAGTCTCCTGGAATGTTTTCCCAAAGCATCCTGTGTTACTAGCCCCCTCTCAGGGGAGCAGAAAGTCCTAAAATCCCTTCTCTCTATTCTGTAGCTTCATAGTGCATATTTGTTTGGTGGACTGACATAGCAGTTAGAACAAATACTCCTGCTGGGTTGAGAGCATCTATGAAGCTACAGGGGGAGAGGGGACATATTGTCAGAAAAAATGAAGTGGTTGCCTGGTCACTGTGGCAGAGAACACTGATGTGCTGACATGCAAAGGAAAGGTCTTAAAAGCACTGACAACATACCATAGTCAAGCAATACCTCACTTAATACCTAGTTTTGGCACCTTCATCAATACCATGGCAAAGACATGTTCTAGTGTTTTGATTAACTGCTGGTAAATTTTACAGATTTAGGGAGACTAGATTTTGGGGCTCATAGGGATTTTTTACAAAGCACATTAAACATATCATTGCTTCCATAAATTAGGACACCTCAGCAATAAGCAGGAACACTTCCAGAATACATTTAACAGTGTACGGAAGCATGTGAATGACCTAGCTCCTGGATCAGGATAGTAATGGTCCTTGCTCTCCCCTCCAGTTGAATAGAAGTCCTAGTACATTGCATTGCTCAATTAAGTTGGTAGAAGAATTTATGCTTCCACACCAAAAAACAGAGCTGTCTGGCTACTGTAATTACTGCTGGGATATGGGGTTCATGTAATTTCTTCAACAAGACAGGTAGTCTTGTTATCTTTAGAGCTGTGTGATATCCTGGTGACTTTTTAAGTTATTCAGTGGTCTTTGTTCCTTGCTATACATGCCTTCTCTATTTCTCTCTTGTCTTCTACATACACAGTATTAAGATTAGAGAACCCATAGAACCCATAGTCAAAGGACCAGTTTTATTTCCTGCTGAAGGATAATCCCTTGGCAAATACAGAACAGTTACATCAAATCCCTTGGCAAATACAGAACAGTTACATCAGAAAGACGACACTAAAAAAGCCAGCTATTGTTAAAAGGTAATATAGTAAAAAAAGCCAACAATGTTAAAAAGTGCCCAGAATGTTCAAATTCTGATTTTCAGAAAACTCTAAAATAATTATATCTGCCCTTAAGCCATTTTCCTGAGTACAGCTGCACACAGTGAGTGTGTAGGGACACTTTTCAAAGCCTGTGACTGTGAAGAGCAGACCACTGGGTATAGCTGGTCACAGGCAGGAGCCACATAAAGTCTGCTTACGAGGGAATGAAAGAATGTAAAGACAGCTGCTAAAGGTAGGCAGATTTCCCTGCTGTTGGACTTTCTAAAGCAACAATGCTGTCAGAGCTCCTTCCCAAGCAGTCCAGAAAGGTGCCTTAACATAATGAATGAATCAACCCAACCACATAAAGATGGCTTACAGAGTACCTGAATGGTAACTTTATTCCATTTCTGTTGGAGAAAGTGAACTCTGGGCAAACTGATAAGGCACAAGTTTGCTTCTATAGCACAAAACAACCCAAGTCAAAGCCAAGCTCAGAAAGTCAAAATGTGTCCATTTCTATCCCCATACCTGAATGGAACTGTTGAAGCATTTTCTCTTCTGCATGAACCTCAGACTAGAAGTTCAGCACGCTCCACCTCATGTGCAAACTTCATTCAACACTGACAGCTGAATGACCATTTCCTAGGCTGCTTAAAAGGATTTCTTTTTAATTCATAAATACAAGTTTACTTTTCACTTTTGCAATGTAATAGTTTATGCTTAGAAGAAATAGTACATGTCTATCCCACCAAATCCATGTGCACATTTGGAAACATTTGGTGTTGCTTAAAGTGTTCTTAGTTTTGTACCTGTTTTCAAGAACAGCAGGTTAATTTAAGAACCTATTTGAAAGGCATCTGTCTGGTCATGTGGTTTCTTCTGTAGCCTCCAGACAGGGAAAGTGAAGAAGGGAAATAAAAAACAACAGTTGTCATCAATAAACACACCAAATTCATTTTGTTGTTCATATTTCTGCACTCTAGGTTTGAGCACATACAAGGGATCTGAATCTTCTAAGAATTTCTCCTCAAAGAGATTGCTGTTGGTCTGTACTTCTGGATGTTGCAAAATATTCAGTGCTGCTTGAAAGGGAAAAGACAGTTTTCCCAGCCAAAATAGAATTTAGTTTTATAAGCTTTATCAAGAAATTTTCCAGGTAATATTAAAATAGCAAACATTTTAACATTTTAATATGAAAAATACAACAAATTTCCTTTTAAACGTGGATCAAAATTACTTTTAACATTTACAACAAGAGCTGGAGAGGAAATTATAAATTTCTAGCAAAACATTCAGCAATATTATTTGAAGTTTTCTGTATTTCAGACAAATTATACAAATCTTAAACACCATTGAATTCCTATACACCTTAATATTTTACATATTGCCTATTGCCACTTTTGTCATCATTCATCATCAATTACTCAATTACATCAACTCACTCTCTCTCAATCTCATTTTTTTTTTTCTGTAAAATGGATAACACCCATATTAACATTCCAGGAATGAGCCTAGCTCTTATGAAATAGTAAGATAATGAAAAAAGTCCTTTGTTAAGTTTTTGCTGGAAATACAAAAGAAAAATTCCCACCAGCACACAAAGAAATGATATGAATCACCTTTCTAAATGTATTTGAACAATCTAGAGATTTGTTAGTTGAAAACAAGAGAGTATTTCTGGCCCTCTGGTAATTTTAATGGTAAAATGACCTAGGTGTGCCCCCGTAAAACCCAAATACTTCATCACCACTGCCAACATAAGAGGAGACCTAAAACTTGACATTGACACATACAATATCTGGTAGTCCAGAAATCAATAAGAGCAGTGACCTGCTTTCAAATGAAAAGCAGGAAAAATTTCTCCCAAAGGCCCTAATGTCTATATGTCCTTCCAACTTACCACCAATATTCAAGAAAAATGTAGAAGCCTCAAACATGATGAAGAAATGGACAGATGTGAAAATCCACTTGTTGTAAACAAGCATAATTCAGACTTATTTACACTACTAGTTGTTCTTTTTTTTCATACTGCAGAAGTCAGAAGTGGTCTGAAGTAAATGACAGAGGAGAGAGAAATTGATTGAAAAGGTGTCGAGAAGAGGTTATGGCAAAGTCACCATAGCCAGAACAGCACAGGATTTACAGAATTACAGTAGTCTTCTGACTAGAAGTGTGTGAAAAGCCAGGAGGGTATTACTGATGTACATCAAACACAGTAAAACCTGAAGTGAGACCTCAAAGCTCTCTTTCTTTTCTGAAACAGGTTATGAATTCAATTATGCTGAAACAGAACTGGTATGTGCATGTCTTCTTCTTCTGAAGGTCTTGCAGATCCTTCCTAAAAAATGGTTCCTTTATGTTAGCAAAGCCTCCAACTCCCAAAAGTTTTAAGTATGCTAGTGCTTGCTGCTCTCCCTTCACTGCAGACTCCAGCTCCTCCCTGTTTCAGAGTGAATGCACTTCTTTAAAAAAAACAACCTATTCTGACAATATGCTCATCCTTTCCCAGGATTTATTGCCAATTTCAAAAGCCTAATTGCTGTTGTGAACAGTGAGGATATCCAAACTGAATGGAATGAAAAGTTACCTTTTCCCTCCTCTATTCTCTCCCTAATTCAGCTGCAGATTTTCTCTCTTGCTAATGCAAGTATCCATTGTGGAGGATTTTTCCTTTACAATAAAACCAAAAGTATCTTCTGATTTCCAACATGATTGTTACAGATCAACACCAATTCTGACTTTGTATTTGACATTAGCATTGCTCTTTAAAACAAATTTGGTAGTATCTCAGCAGTAGCATCACATTTCTTTAATGCTTATTGACAGGCAGGTCAGTAGCCAGTGACTTTTTTTTTTAATGACTGTATTCTTTTGTTCTCTTTGCAGTACCCGCAAGGACTTGAATGACAGAAAGTTCATTTTTCTCCGAATGAACATCTGATTAGAGTAGCCCATGCTTTACCCCCCTTTGGGAGACATGCTGTCAGCCAGCAAAGCCATGGTGGTCGTGGTAGCTGTCACTGCATATCCAACAGCTGCTCTGTTACACATTCCCTAACCTGGCAAGAACCGCACCACAGAGATTCTGCTGCTTTTCCCCACTCTGGCTCTGTGCTGCTCTGGCCCCATCCCTCCAGCAGGCAGGCTGGCCAGCAGCTTTGCCTGCAGCTGCTTCCCACCCTCCTAGTGCTGGTTCACCACAGCAGGAGCTCTCCCAAAGGTGCTTTCTATAGCCTTGGCCCTGGAGAATGAGTATCACCCCGCCAAGGAACCAGAAC